ATCTCAGATGCAACTGAAGGGTCTCATGGTCCAGGAGTCTCCACTGGGGCCACAGCACCTTATCACCTCCCCTCTTCATCCTGAGACTACAAGTGGCTTCTGGCAGGGACTGTCATCTTGTTAGGTAGTTAGGATAGGAAAAAGGAGTCCAGAATGGTGGTGGTTAAAAGATAAGGAAGGGAAAATCCCATGAAAATACAACAGAGGAAAGTCCAATAACTGGAGTGAGGACCTCAGGTAGAACAAACAGCACTCCTGGCTAGCCTGATTTACATGGGGCAGGCCCAGGGGGAGGAGAAAAACATATAAAAAGAGGAGCCAAAATTGGGCTGGGGGGCCTCTCTTCTTTTTGCATCTTTTGGGTAGTCATTCCCTCACGCCTCGAGAATGTATTTTCCTTTACTTTCTAAATAAAACTGAGCTGTAACACGGAGCTGCAACACTGGGCCACCCAAGAGCTGTAAAGCTTGCTGGTCCACCCGAGGGCTATAATGCTGGTCCATCTGTCACTTCAAATTTTTTTTGCGACGAGACAGAGCCAAGGAAATTACACGCTCCCCAACTATCTGATTCTCCTCTGGGTCCCCAGGGCTCAGCCCAAGGTCTGGTCTGACAAGCACTGGTGGGCCCACAGGGAGGGGGTGGGTGCTGGCCTGCCCTCCTTGGGGGTGACCACATGGGGACATCACTTCTGGTCTTACCATGCCCACCGTGCTGAACGCCCCAGAGCTGGCCCTGCAGGGCTGCCCTAGGGCACAGCCTCCAGAATCTTGGCAAAGGCGGGTTCTCACCGCTGTGCCAGGAAGGGCTGTGGAACCCTACAGTGTGGTTCCTCCACAGGGGACTCCATGAGGCTCCATTTTCAAGGCCAGCCAAGCTCCCAGGACACCCAGAGTATGGACACTGATTTCCTCTCATAGTAACCTCCCGGTTCTAAGAACAAGATGTACAACTTATTTCCTTCAGATCTGGGGACAGTCCAGGAGACGGGGAGTCTTACAAAATATCACTCACTGAGCTTGAATTTGAGACACAAATGCTGAAACTTACCCAAGTCACACTGCCAGCAGGTGAGGGTCACAGATTTGACCCGCGCCCAGCCCAGTCAGTGAGGGGCTTGTTAGCTCAGGCCCTCTCCCTAGTGCCTGAACCAAGTGCTTTCCCATCTCTCCTCTCCTGGTGACCTCAGGACAGCCTGGTGGCAGGTGGTATTGTTCACAGTCTCATTTTCCAGATGAGGAAACTGAGGCACAGAGAGCGCAAGGATTTGCCTGCAGCCAGTAGCCGAGTTGGACTCCAACCAGGTCCATCATGGCCCTGTTCTACATCTAACTTGCAGCCCAGGTGCAGGAGGGTGTGTAAGGGGAGGGCAGGTGTGCATCAGACTCTCAGAGCCCCCTCTTCAGACCACTCATCCCTGAAGTCCTGGGGACTGTGAGTTGTGCCCACTGTGGTGGTATTCCTCAGATGTGTTGGGTGGGACGTGCTGGACCGACCCTCCTTGCTCCCAGATCCCTGTCCTCCTCACCTTTGTAGACCCCTGCTGAGACTCAGGCCCTGGATAGGAAGGAAGAAGCTGGAAGGTCCCTGTGGGCTCAGGACTCAGGGCAAAATGTTTTCCCAGGTAGACCTCAGGATGGATGAGTTCTTACGGGCCAAGCATGTCAAGGCCTCTGACCTTCCGCTGCTATAGTTGGGCCTCTGAGGCATCTCGTTAACCAAGACCGCTCTGGCTGCCTGCCAGGGAGCTTGCTTTCTCACCTCTCCATCCTCCACGTCCTTCTCTTTGGATTAGGCCAACACCCACTTACCTTAGTAGTAGACAAGACACTTCTATGGGGGAACATGGTCTTTCTTTTTTTAATTAACTAATTTCTGGTTGTGCCAGGTCTTTGCTGCTATGCTGGCTTTTCTCTAGTTGCGGCAAGTGGGGCCTACCCTCTAGTTATGGTGCAAGAGCTTCTCGTTGCTGTGGTCTCTCTTATTGTGGAGCACAGGCTCTAGCACATGCAAGCTTCGGTAGCGGCAGTACATGGTCTCAGTAGTCATGGCTCCTGGACTCTAAAGCACAGGCTCAATTGTTGTGGAGCACAAGCTTAGTAGCTCATTGGCACATGGAATATTCCAGGATCAGAGATCAAACCCATATCTTCTGCATTGGTAGACAGATTCTTTACTACTCAGCCACTAGAGAAGCCCTGGAACATGGATTTTCCCAGCAACTCAGTGAACAGGAAAAGCCGAGTGTGGACAGCAGCCCCTGGGAATGTGAGCTCATCCCCTCCTGGAGGTGACAGCTTCCCAAGCTGGAATTCTCAGTGGATGCCTGGGAGAGCAGCCGGACACAGAGAGGGCTCCCTACCCACCCCATCAGGCCTCAGAGGTGCTGGGGTTCCTCTAGCTGCAGCGACAGAAATGAAATGTCCTGGAGAAGGAAAGACACTCTCGGAACAGTCCTGGGACAGCCCTGCGAGGGCTCTGCTGTCCTGGGCTCCCCAGGCCCAGCTCTGGGCCTGCCCCCAACTGCCCTCCTTCTCCTAACACCAGTAATCCCCTGTCTCCTGGATTTCTTCCTCTGTTCCACCTCCCTCCTTCTCTCTGACTCCTCCACAGCAGGATTAAGGCATGTTTAACCGCCTCCTGAAAAGGAAGGAAGCAGCTCTCCAGCTGAGGCAGCAGTCTTGTTTCCTATTTCCACTAGTCCTCCCATCACCTTGGTCCCCGCGCTCTGGATCTGCCCACTATGCACTGGCCAGGTAGGTCTTGACCTGGTCATTATGCTCTCTAAGATGCATGTTCAGCTGCATAAACATGACTGAGTGACAGTGGCTCAAGCAAGAGGGAAGGTTACTTCTCTGGTGGGGAGAAGTCTACAACGGCAGGCTGTTCCGGGCCACTGCAGGGCGCTGTATCACCGGCTTCCCTGGTGGCTCAGCTGGTAAAGAATCTTCCTGCAAAGCAGGAGACCCCGGTTTCATTCCTGGGTCGGGAAGATCCCCTGGTCTCCACTGGTGTGGCAACCCACTCCGGTATTCTCCTCTGGAGAAACCCCATGGACAGAGGAGGCTGGTGGGCTGTAGTCCATGGGGTCACAAAGAGTTGGACATGACCGAATGACTAAGTGCAGCACACAGCCCAGCATCATAGATAATCCAAGCATAAACTGCTGTCTCTTTTGCTCTGCATCCCCAGGGTGTCTCTGCCTTCCTTATATGGCTGCAGGCGGCTCATCCCACTGAAATGTCATCTCAGCAGGGAAGAGGGAAAGAAAATGGTGGGGAGAGGGCAGGTGCATCTTTGTTCAGGTGACCCAGAACTTTCAGCATTTCTGCTCATATCCACTGTTCAGAGCCTAGTCACGTGGTCTATCTTCCATGGGAGGCTGGGGGATGCGTTATTCATGTATATATATTCATGTCTCATTGGCTATCACTTAGTCACATGGTCTATTTTCTACATGAGGCTTAGAAACACAGTCTCCAGCCAAGAGTCTATTATCCTGTCCTAAGAGGGACTCTGTGGTTTTGTTACTAAAAGGAAGGGGAACAATGTGTCATGAGGGGTGATTAGCTATTTTATTCATTAATCACCTGTTCATTTAGGTCGCAGGAATTCTTTCTCCTTGAGTCCAGAGAAACTGAATAACACTGACTTGAATCTTTAGGATATCTACTATTTACTTACAAAGAAGGGGGATGATTTAGGGTCGGATTCTGCAGCCCATTAAGGTTTCTCGTATTCTCACATCCTCTCCCACATGGTCACAGAACGGCTGCTACATCTCCAGTCATCTTGTCGCCATACATCGACATTCAAGGAAGGAAAGATGTGCAAGGGGTGTTATCTTCTTAGCTCTCATTTTTAAGAAAAAGTGAGAAATCTTACTCTGAAACCCAAACAGGCTTAACCCACATATCTTTGAAACTATAGTACACAGTACAAGCCCACCTCTAGCTTCTACACAGGCTGGGAAAACATTATCTGGCAGAGCAGAATGATCTTGTCATGACTGATTAGATCAGTGAAAAGTCACCCCTTGGGACTGAGTTGGTGTCCCGTGAGCAAAGAGAGAATTCTGTGAGTGATGAATTCTGGGCCACAGAGTCAACAGTCATCAAGCCTGCCCTCCTCAGGCTGCCTCTCTGGGGAGAGGGCGTGCCCTCCACAGCTTACTGACCCACCCTCCCTCAACCTGGACCCTCCGTCCCCCAGTCTTCCCCTTCCTCCCCAGCAGCCCCTTCTTGGCCTCCTCTATTTCCTGCTCCCCCTCTGCTGATCCCAGTGGTTCCTGAAGGCTCAGAGCCCCATCCCAAGTCCAACAGCCTGGCTCACCCTCATCACCTCTTTTGTGTACCAGACCCCGAATCTTCCTCTGGTCCACCCTAGCCTCCCAGTGGTCACCTTCCTCCTGGACGGGCCTTGTATAGGGATCTGATCACAGCTCTGTCCCATAACCCTGGAATCTTCTGGGCCGCAGGCAGTGTCCCAGCCTGGGCAACTCATCAATGAAGGGATGGTTTGACTTAACACCAGTGATTGGAGTTCTCTGAGTCTTAGTTCTCTCATCTTAAAATGCAGACATTAGCCTCCAGCTCTCTTGGTGTTCAGAAGACTATATTTGATGGACGCCCTTAGGGCATTTAAGTGAATTGTTTATCAAACCTGGAGTTTTCTTCAGTCACCCTGACCTCAGGTCATTTTTTTTTTGACCTCAGGTCATTGTGGCAGCTTGTAAATCATGAATAAAGGCAAGACTATTTAGATGATTCTGGGATGGAGCCCTTTGTACTAGTGTCTACAGCAGCAAGACTCTGCTTGGCCTGGTAGATGACACTCCAGTCCCGGAGAAGGGCAGGGGACCCTGAAGGAGTTAGGGGGTGAGCGGCCACCTTTCAGTCACTGAGGAGGCCGATCTCTTTGCAGGACACGGGTTTCCCTATGAAACATTTGGGATCCGGCTGCAGTTCTCCTGGCAGGTGGACTCATTTGGCCAATCCGTCATGACTTCCACCCTGTTTGCCCTGGCGGGCTTCAACGGCCACATTATCTCCCAGATAGACTATGACCTGGAAGAGGCCATGCAGAAGGACCAGGTGAGCCATGAATCACATCCACGGCTGCCAACTCACCTCTCCTTTTTCCCCTCTCTTCCTTCCTGCGTCTCAGAGCCCCTGTTATTCTCCTGAGCATTTGGGATGCTGGCGGCTACACAGTCCATGGGATGTCCCAGGCCCATCTTTGCCCTGCTGTGCCCTCCGGCATGAGTGGTTCTCTCCTCCCCCAGGTCTAGCTCCTGGCTGAGCTGCAGGCCCAGCTCGGATGCCTGTGGCTCTGAGTCCCCTTCCCCCTTCAGCTGGGCTGGCACTGCCTTCTTCTTTGAGTCTCCAAAGGGACTGGCACAGACCCGCACTCAGTAAATCGTGATCAATGCAGAGGGGATGTGGTGGGGGGTTCAGGGTACCTGGGACATAATAGCTCTTCTGACGGGTGGGCAGCGAGCATGAATGAATGTGACACTCAACAACCACACAGACCCTGCCTTTGCCATCTGTGAAATGCCAGGCCTGGTGGGAGCCGCTGCCCTCTGGGTTTCCTTTAAAACAACAGCCTTATGATGTAGTTTCTGTATTTCCTGGGGCTGTCTGAAAAAGTACCGAAAACCGGGGAACTTCTAACAACAGAAATGTATTGTTAACAGGCCTGGAGGTCAGCAGGCCAATGTCAACCCTGGACACGGCCATGAGCCTTCTGAGAGTGCTCGGGTGGGTCAGTTCCAGGCCTCTCTCTGCTTCTGGTGGCCACAGGCATCCTTGGCCTGGGGACGGCTGACTTCCCCCCGTGTCTTCACATCATCTCCCTCTGAGCATGTCTGGATCCAATTGCCCCCCCTTTTAGGACTCTAGTCATATTGGAATCAGGACCCACCCTCAAGATCTCTTTTTTCTTCAATCATTTTTATAAAGGCTTTAGTTCCAAATAAGGCCTCATGAGCTAATGATGTTAAGAATTCAGCATATATTTTCTGGGGGAAGCCATTCAACCCATAACAAGTAGTACTAAAATTACCCACTTTTACAGATGGGTAAATAAAGCCACAAATGTAACGATTCTGTGCAGGATGACTCTGATGATAAAGTTCTGGAGAGCAGTGGTAACATGGCCAGCAGGATTTATAAGAAAGATTTTGGGTTCTTGGTGGGCAAGAGAAGTGAGCTTTGTAATGACCCCACTAAGTACCTCACTGAGCGCTGCACATGCTTCCTATGGCAGCTCAATTCTCCTGCAGGTGAGTCTGGGAGCTGGGTGTGACTCCCAGAGATTCACGTGCAGAAACCAAATCACAGAGGAGTCAGGAACACTGTCTGGAGCCAGAGCTAGGATTTTATTTCTGCTTTGTAGCCCTGAGCACTTTCTAACTATTAAAACTTCAAAATGGACTGTACCCATAGTGAGAGGTGATGAGCTCCCCATGTCTTGGGGCATTCAAGCAGAGTTAGAATATGGCTGGAAGGCCCTGGGAGCAGCTCTCGCCCTGAGGAGGGGTGGGGTGAACATGCAGGCAGGTGCCCTCTGAAGGGCAAATTCCTCCACCCCCTGTGGTTTTGGGAGGTCAGGAGGAAGCAGAGGGAGATGTTGACCATGAAACACAGACGGAGTGGGGTGCAGGCAGCCATGAGATTCAGAGAGGGGAGCCCGGCAGCCCTGTTGCTCCTGGGCCCTCACTCTGTTCCCTCTGGGTTTGCAGGGGTTGCAGTTTGTGTGCAGAGGATCTCGGTCCCTGTTGGCGCAGCAGGAAATCTTCACACACGTCCTGGATGAGAGCGGCTATTGCTCGTGAGCTCTTGCCTTGGACCAGACCCTGCTCCCAGCCCTCTCGCTGAAGCATGTCAGCCCCCACCCTCACGGCCACCCCTGAGGGGACTCAATGAGCACCCATCTTGCAGAAAGAATAACTGAGGTCTGGACCCCCAGTCAAGGTCCTGTGGTAGCAGCCGTGGGGGCAACAACATTCGACTCAGGAGGCTGCTCCAAGGCCTCCAAGGAGGGAACAGCCCTCCCGCAGGCTGTCTGGTTGGAAGACCTGGGTTCAGTCCCCTTCTGTCCCTTTATTCCTGTGAGGCCACAGGCAGGGGTGAGCCCCTCTTTGAAGAGGCGAGACTGTCAGCAGGACGAAGGGGCAGCTGAGAGAAGAGACCGGGTGGGGACTCACTATCATGCTCTGGGCGCCTTGCAGGGTGATGTGCCCGAGATCCCACAGGGCTGAAAGGTGGTGTCTTCTGGCCACAAGGCTCTCGTTGCTCACCACTAGCTTGTCCTTCCAACTGATGGGAGACAGAGGCCCCGAGCAAGGTCTGCAGGCTCATTGAGCCCCACTCTTCTCCTGGAGCACAGGCTGCCTCCCTTCCCAGGGTGGGGCCCCCGACACTCCTCTCTGTCTCAGCGACGGGTTTTACTGGGATGGAGAGCCCGTCTTCCCAGATCTACCCAGTGATGGCGTGTATTCCAACATGGACGCACCTGTTACCCAGTCAAACATCAAATTCTGTGCCAACAGTGTGTTAAAGAATGTGAAAGAGCGTGCCATCTGGCTCCAGACACCACACGTCCTCTGGCCCTGGGTAAGTCGGGGTCCCAGGCCCTGGTTCCCCAACTCATCCCAAGGCCTGCTCTGATAGGACCACCCTGGGCTCAGGTCCACCTCTCACCAGATCAGTCTCCATCGGGCAGTGGGCCAGGCAGCCATCCCAGCCCTGACTCAGACCTCCTTCCCTGCAGCCCCCGCCCCTCAAGTCCTCACCCACTCTACCAGCTCTTTCCCTGACCCTGGGTCACCCCAGACTCTCCCATCTGAAATGCAGCTCCTCACCCAAGTGGGTCTCCTGCTTCTACCCAGCTGTCTCCTCCTTTTCCCTTTGCAGGGCTGAGGGGCCTGAATCCTGGCCGCTTCTGGGTCAAGGCATGCCTCTGTCATACAGCACCAGCTGAACAGTAATCGGGAGACCCCCCTGTTAGATTAAGGCTCATCAGTTCTCGCAGCTGGAATAGCATGTGGGAAGTCTTCCATTTTCACACCAGGGCACTGTGGACTTGAGAGAGCCCAGTGCACTGATTTTCCTGGTTCTGTCTGTGTGTCTATTTCTGGTGATACTGGCCACGCTAAAGAGAAACAGTCTCTATCACTATGTCTGATTTTTTTCCCCACGATGTGAATAGCAGGAAGTTGTGTATGTAAGCAAAAAGGAGGCCTAGCACTGAGAGACACGAAGGACCCAGGGCAGGTGGCAACCACCGGAGCATCGAGTGAGAAATACTCTGATCATCAATGCTTACTCTCGACAGATTTGCAAACAGCAGGAGAAAATGATGGAGGAAATGTTCGCATATTGTGGTTTGAGAAAAACATGGGGGTTTATCCATGGTTTAACTTCAATTTTAAATGAACCAAAAAAGTCTCTTGAAGGCCTAGTAAACATGCATTGTACATTTGTATTAACCATGAAAGAAAAGAATGCATTTTAAAAAATCAAATTGGAGTGACTGTGGTTCAGGCGTCCGAATGGGAGCTCAGCGCCCATTATGCATGCAGATTCAGATATGTTCCTGTATTACTGAGCACTTGAATTTTCTGAACTGTATCAGACTCAAGGACATCACCAGCCACTCTCAAAACATCTTCTCCAAGCTGCCATCTTTAAACTTATGGCCCCAAGATCTCCTCTTGCAAACTTTCTCTCACTTTAGGAATAGTAGCGACAGATAAGAGAACTTGAGTCATAGCCTCCCAGTAAAAGGCACTAGGTTGTTTAGCCAGAATAGTACTAGACAACCAATTGCTTTAAATGATATTTTTGCCTAAAATATAGGTACATTTGTGTACTGATTCATAGCTCCTGTCGTGTGTGCCTGCTCAATTGTGTACAATTCTTTACGACCCCATGGACTGTAGCCCACCCGGCTACTCTGTCACGGGATTTTCCAGGCAAGAATACTGGAGTAGGCTGACATTTCCTCCTCCAGGGGGAATCTTCCCAACCCAGGGATTGAACCAGTGTCTCTTACGTCTCCTACATTGGCAGACAGATTCTTTACCACTGAACCACTTGGGAAGCCCATAGCTCCGGTTATGTATATATTAAGATTAGTACAGAAGTTGAAATTGAAGTAAATAGTGTAATTAAAAAGGCTGCTTGGCTAAAGAATGTACCTAAAGAGGACCCATTAAAAAACTTATTCTTCTGACTGTATCTGGTATAAAAGGATGCTTTTAAGGAGTACTACTAGGGTGCATTTTATCAATATTCTTCTTATAATATGTCTACTAATTTTTAAATGCTTTTCCAGGCCCCAGGAAAAGCTATCTAAGAGAGATACAGTTCTCATAACACAGACTATTCACACTAAACCTGGGGCTCCAGAATTCTTTAATGTGATAGTCAATGGCTTTCTCACTTTTAATCTTGAACAATTGATTTCACCCACATTCTGCAGGACGTATTCAGGGGGGTCGTCACTCCTGTTCCTCTCAGGACTAAGGAGTGTCCAAGAAACAGGGGGATTGAAAGTGAGCCTGAAGCTACTGAGTCTTCCCGTGGGCTAACACTTCACTCCCCTGAGTCCCCAGCCTCTTGTTTTGTGAAAAGCTTTAGCCTCCTAGGCCTTCTCTGAGTTCCAAAGGGTAAATTTAATCAGAGAAGTAACAAAATGCAGAAACAAGGAGAAGCAATAGAGGAAGAGAAAATAATAACAGTTTAGCCATAAAATAATGTCAGACCTTTAGTTCCCCCTCAAGGGCTATAGGTAATTACTTGATTCATAATTTGAATTGTTTATATGGAAACTAGACATCCTCCAACTGGGTGAAAACTGCTGACCTCTAGCCTGTAGACCCCAGAAGGCTGATGATTGAGATTCCAATAACATCAACCAGAGAACTAGGTATGAGCTAATCACACACCCTTCAATCCTCCCCCGAATGTTACCTTAAAATCTCCTCCCTGAAAGTCACCAGGGGCCTAGGGTCCTGGGCATGACTTGCCTCTTTTCCTTGCTTAACGTCCTGCACTAAGCAATTTCCTATCTGGTATCAGTTGATTGGCTTCTCTCTGCTTCAGAGCGGCAACAGGACTGCTCAGTGCTGATATCTCTACCCACGGAAGGCCAGTATGAGGGGAAAGAATTGGGAGTGTTACAGAAATAGGTTAGTTTGCCCAACACAGAGAAGCCAATTTTGAGACATTGAGGTTTGGAGCAGAAAGAAGGTTTATTCATGAGGAAGCCAAGGGAAGAGATAGAAAGTCAATCTCTAATCCACCTTCCTGAAGTTGGGGGCTCAAGGTATTTATGAGATAAATAAATCTCACTTATTTATCTGATGATAAATCTGGCCTGAAGAGTGGGGAGCACAGAGAATGGTGATCAGAAATAAGAAAATGATGGTAGAAGTTCCTTGGTGGTCCAGTGTTTAGGACTCTGTGCTTTCCCTGCAGAGGGAGTAGGTTCAGTCCCTGGTTGGGGAGCTAAGATCCCCTGCCCCAAAAAAAGAAAAAGAAAAAGAAAATGATGAGGGAAATCACCATTCTACACAGGTGCAGCTAGGTTACAAGTTCTTCATGGTCAGAAACTGGCACAGTCGGCAAACTCTGAAGGTACAGTTTGAGACCTTCTGTTGTCAAAATATCACTGAATGGGCACTTTCATAAGCCCAGGTATGGGGCTGATGGTCCTAACAAGTCTTAATTGGCTGGAGTATGCATTAGACACAACAGACTCCAAGTTCCTGAAAAGCAAATTGGGCAAGCATCTTACTGTTTAGTCTGAGAAACACTTGAAGGATATGCAAGTCTTTTCTAGCAACAATTAAAGCAAATTTGACAATGAGGGTAGGTGACTGGTGTATGCCTCTGACTGATGGTCACCCTCCTTTCGGTAGCAGGAATATCCAGGATGGATCCCTAAATTTGATGTCCCCGCCATGGAACTCAGGACAACCCGATTCACCTGTGTCTGCTTTAGCGTTTTCTGTGTAAAGTGTGGTCATGGCTGCCCATTCCCTGGGCGCCTGGAAGGATTCAACTGAATAACGGATGTGGAGATGTCCTTTTTCAACTGGGGTAAAATATATATGACATGAAACATCATTTTAACCTTTTAAGTGAACAATTCAGTGGAATATAGTCTGTTTGAAGTGTTGTGTAACCACCCCATGTACCCATTTCTGGAAATTTTATCTTCCCAAACAGAAGCTCCCTGGTAGCTCAGATGGTAAAGAACCCACCTGCAATGCAGGAGACCCCAGTTCAATTCCTGGGTCAGGAAGATCCGCTGGAGAAGGGATAGACTACCTACTCCAAGATTCTTGGGCTTCCCTGCTGGCTCAGTTGGAAAAGAATCTGCCTCCAATGCAGAAGATCTGGGTTTGATCCCTGGGTTGGGAAGATCCCCTGGAGGAGAGCATGGCAACCCACTCCAGTATTCTGGCCTGGAGAATTCCATGGACTGTATGGGGTCACAAAGAGACATGACTGAGCGATTTTCATTTTCAAACAGAAGCTTTGTACTCATTGAACACCAGCCCCCACCATTCTCAGGGATCAGGCTGGCAGTCTCCGTGTCCAGACACAGCAGGCCCACTTCAGTCTGACAGCATCAGTCCCAGAGTGGGTCTCATACTGCTCAACAGCTAGCCCTGGGCCTAAAATGTGGGGTCCTTCCTGCCTGTCTCCCCTCTCCTGCTATTTCCATCTTCCTTTTATTCCTTCCTCTCCCCTTCTAATATTAACTAAAAAACTTAATGCAGGTGGTTGCAAATGAGAAAAGCATTTATTTTTGGTCTTCAGAAAGCAATTCAGGAGACACAGATACAGGTAACCCCCAAAGAGTGTTCCAGGAAAGAGAGAATCAGGGGCTTTAAAGACAAGCACCGCAAGACTTCTGAAGTTACCTGGCAAGAACTGTGATTGACTCTGATGCTAGTGAGAAAATATTTGCTGTGCATCCTGGCCTGTGCCCCAGCCTGCAGCTCAGACCCTGCAGATGCATTGCCTCAGTTTCCTGATCTGTGAAATGAAGATAATTCCTGCCTGCCTGCATTGCTGCCAGGATTGCTGCAAGGATTCCATGGAGCCAGGGAATGACCAGCACCATCCAGAGTCAACAACTGAGAAAGCTCCTTTTGCCGCCCCACCCCAGGGCACTATCTATGCCTCTTGGAGTTATGTATTCTCCTCTGCCTCCTATTAGTTAACCGTCTTTCTTTGGGAACTCCTCCACCTTATGTGGCCAAGCTCTCTTACCGCCATACTAGTGAAGTAGAAGGATGCTGGGCATCCTTTTTCCCAGTGTTGCTATGGTGCAGGCACATGACCTGGGCTCTGCCTGTCCCATGTACCTGCTTCAGACACTGACTCAGAATCCAGTGAGGTAAGGGACCAGGGATGGCAGGGTGGGAGGTGGGGTCATAGTGGGTGACCAGCTGTGGAGGCAGCATGGTATTCACTGTGGATTTACACAGTTCCTTCCTTTTCCAACCTCAAAGATGCAAAGGTCAAAGACCAAAGCATAGGAAACTAAATTCCTATGTTTAGCTTTTTTTTTTTTTTTTGTCATTTAGCCACTAAGT